TTTTGTTTTCGTTCTTGTTTAGTTTTGCTTTTTGAGACAAGGTATCACTGTGTAGTCCAGGTTGACCTAGACTCATTGTGTAGCAAAGCTGCTCTCAGATTCCCAGGGATACTCTTGCCTCTATCTTTGTTTAAAGAAAATATAGGAGAACACTTATTTGTCTCTGGTGGGAGTGCAACCTGGTGCAATCACTACAGAAATCAGTGTGGAGGTTCTTCAAAGAGCTAGAAATAGATCTAATACATGCCCCAGCCATACCATTCAGGTATATACCTAAAGAAGTGTATATCCTACTAAATATATATTTTGACTTTTAAAAGAGTATTATTTGATGTTAACTTTTAAAAGCTTACTGTGCAAAACATTATTATATAACTATAACCAGAGGGAACTCCACAAACATGTATTATAGCATTTGTCAGCCTGTATCCAAATATATCCAAGAATGGTGATTGGGGGTTGATGAGGAGCTGGGGAGTTGGAGGAACAGGAAATGTTGGCTACAATAACAAATATTGTTTTGTGCTTGTTAGCTTAGAAAATTCTCAGTTAATTCACCAAATATTTAGGGAACATCAACTATATATCAGATTCTCTAATAAACATCAGAACAGTTTACACAATGACTCATTCTACCTCTGACATGCAAGTACTCATTGTGAATGAAATCAATTAATCCATACTTGTCAACAGTACCAGCTTACAAGTGCTGGTCCTACATTTACAGCACTCCTTTCATTGGTAACATTCTACCTATGGCTCTTTGAGGTTGGGTGCATGTGTGTGGGCATGTGGGGTTATATGCACACATGCGTGTGCAGTAAGGAGACACGATCGATAACTATATACATATGATCCTGCATCCATTTTCTAGAACAGCTGTTCTCACACATGGGGCACAGTTTAGGGTATGCTACACACTCTTCACGTGACAGTTGAGGAAACCAAGCATCATAGAATTCACGCCTCAGAGAGAAAATGGCAGAGGTGAGATAAAAGTCTAGGGTTCCTGGCACATTATTATTATTTTTTTGATGTTTTACAGATTACCATACTAATACTTTAATATGTTTCAAGTTCTATTATGAGGAAGCATGAAGATCAATTTAATCTCATTTAAATAGAGTATAAGTCAAACATTTTCTTTTAAAATCAGTATCAGAGATGTACATTTAGTCAATGATGGAATGATTGAGAAAACATTTCTTGTAATCAATTCAAGTCTATCAGCAAAGTTTACTTTCTCCCTGCTCTCCAGTAACAATGATAATTGATTTCTCTTTAGTTTCGAAGTATCACTGGCTTCACAGGTGTGTGGAAGGGACATGGACTTTATCAATCCATCAGTAGGTTTAAGAGTGTCTACTAAACACCACTCTGCTGTATTATTTTCTTTGCATTGTGGTTCCACTTTAAAGTAAGCCACCTGGGTCATATAAAAGCTATGAAAATACCAGAAGTAAAATTATAATCCCTTTATTTTAATTAATTAATTTATTTAAATTCCACATCCTTACCAAAACAGGTTGTTTTAAATTGTTTGCATCAAAATGTACTTTGCATGCAAAGACTTCTACACTAAAAAAAATCAGTTACATTTTGGATCATCCTTAGTCTCTTCTATTCTAGCTAATTAGTCTGGCTTTTAGGCATCTACACAAATCAAATTCTTCCAGTGGAGTGAATGTGTGCATAAGTTTCTCAAAAGAAAGCTACTTCTTACAAGCTAAGAAATACAAATAGTCTTTCTACAAGGAAAAAAAGAATAGCAGTTAAGTAGTTAAAACAGGGTTTTAGTTCTTACAATTCACTTTTATATATATCTTTTGCTCATTACCAAGAAAAGGGAGTTGATATTAATTAAATCTTATCCAGACATGATAACCAATGAAGCAGAGGAAAAGAAAATGACATGGTGATAAAACTGAAGAACATTTCTAGAGAGAAACGTAGTATTCAATCTGTAGACGTGATAGAAGATACATATGGTAAGATATCCTTGTCACACAGATTAGAAGCTGTGATTGTGTTGCAGAGTTTTGTCACTGGAAACTTTGCATATTCTTCTGTAATTAAAAAAAAAGGCTTGTCTGTGATAATTTGCCATCTGAAGGAATAAGCTGAATTCAAGCTTAACTACTCAGTAAAGCACTTGTTTTAAAGAAAGGAATACAGATACGGATCTCATCCGAAACTTTCACTGAGTGATTGACGCACTCATACATTCTATGGTGGATGATCTCAGAAGCTTTCCTGTGGATGAGAAACAGAACTACAGGCTTTCTTGTATAAGTTCCTGTACATCTTGTCCATGCTGTTCTCAAAGACGGGTCGGAGTGATTTTCCCTTACAAGGGGCTGCCCTGTTGGACCAGTATTCACCATCATCCAGATGAAGAGCACCATGCAGCTGCTGAAAGGAGCTATGAGAAAGGATAGAGAAGAAAAGGTTGAAAACAACAGTGAAACAAAATTAGAGGCACTACTATATAGTTCAAATATTTTTCGAATGCTTTATGAAATGTGATACTCTGCGGGGACTGTCAGAGATAAAATTACAACATGGGCTTTGTCTTCCAAGACTGATTCTGTACAAGAGGAACATGTGAGACAGCAGCAGAGCAATCAAGTGAGAAAACTGTGTTAAGGCTACAGTAGGATTCAGAGATCAGATGGGGGACAGCGTGGTTGAAACAGAACACAGTCTCTGTTATGGTAAGTGTGAGAACTTAGAGCCTCTAAAGCCAGTGTTTCTGTGGGACCTTGGGTAATTAACTCTTTGGTCAGCTTTCTTAATTACATTTTTGTATGGTTATTTTAAAAATTCAAGAGAATACAAATATCTGCATGTTAGAGTACAGAGACACAGAAGTGATTATGAGGTACTGAATTAAGTATTTTCCATATACTTACCAGTGTACCCTCAACACTTAAAAGTGAGTAAACAGAAATTAATACTTAGTGAAAGCTAAGCCTAGTGGTGCAGACCTGTAATTCCAGCTACTCTGAAAATTAAGAACAAAGGATCACAAATTCAAGGCCTACATGGGCTAGAGAAGCCTGAGCAACTTAGTGAGACCCTGTATCAAAACAAAAAGTGTAAAGCTGTGGAACCTCTACACCTAAGGCTCATGGAATGAAGTAGAACGGGATCGAGAGAAAACTAGTGCATTCCTCAACTCTCATCAGTAAAGCTTCCTTGTACAACACAGTGTGATGCACACAGAAGGCCACAACTGGCCAAGTTTTGGAGAATAAGAGACTGCAGAGTATATACCCCTGGATAAGATTCTTATATTAAACCTCACCTACACATGGCTCAGGGACCACTGCAGAAGAGGGGGCAGAAAGACTTTAAGAGACAGGGTTGGTCCATGAACACAGGAAACAGAGGCTTTCAGGCCACTGGAAGCTTACACAAGTGAGGTTGCTGCAACGGTGGCATGGAGCACAGGATCCACGACAACTCAGTTAGAAACAGGCCAAGACTGGAGCAAGGGAAGTGGGCAGCAGGCTGGCCCTCGCCTCGGAACTGTTGGAGACTGATTACTACTTGATGAGGGAGTATAAACCTTCCTTACAACCTCTAGGTAGGCTGACGAGACTCAAGTGGATAAACTTACACCAAAGGACATCTGGGTACAAATGCTTAACTGGATAGGACTTCACATGTATGGTGGAATACACAAGGTCTGGGGGTGGGGTGGGGAGAGAGTCTAAATTTGATTAAGAACTGTTTATGAAATGTACAAAAGCTCAATAAAAACTAAAAAACAAAAACAAAACTAAAAATAAAAAAGTATAGAGGACCAGGGCTATAGCTCAGGGATAGAGCACTTGCCTTGCATAACCAAACCCTAATCCAATTCCCAGTATTGGAAAATAAAAACAAAGCCCAAAACAGGCAATTCTTAATGAAGTAGTGAAGTTAAGTGAGGACACTTTTCCTGTTCAGCCATGCTGCTACTGTTCTTAAAGAAGGGATAGAAAATTTGGCCTATGAGCCATTCATAAAAAAAAAGTGTAAACAAGATAGAAAAATCCAAATTTGAAGTAACAGTGGTCCACTGTAGTTCTGAGGACCAGAAAGAAGAAAAGTAAAGATTTAGGCAGCTAGCAAATAGGCCAGGTGTAATGGGAAAAGGAAAGATGACACAGCCCTTTCTGAAACATTGATAATATATTCATGAAATACCAAAATTAGAATTTTAATATCATGAATGTTGTTTTGAGCTTATGTTTTGATTAAATAAAATTAACTTACTTCAATAATTAAAATATTTGTTATAGATTAGAACTACCTAAACTTCTAAGAAATATACAAATTATGTCATATGAAATGTATTTCTTGGCTACTAAATGTGATAAATGTCATTTTGATATATTTAGAACCTTATTTCATACAAATAAATTTCTTCCCCCTGAATTATCAGTCTCAATATTTTACTTTTATTGTCAGTTGTAAAGTAGAAACTCTCAGAACAGGAAGAAGACTTTATTGGTTTGGTATCAACCTATCATCAGTACATAATATAAAATTACCACCAAAAAGGTAGAGAATGTCCTGATGATCATTATTAGAGCGCAACATAGTGTCAGTAGGACAGACAACATGGGAATACTTGCATGCTCACCTTGGCATAGCCCATAAAGTGACATGTCTACATTGAGCCATGAATGTTAGCTATAATTCATTTCTATAATCCCATCACTTAAGAGACTGAGGCAGGAAGACTCGAGATTTTGAGGTCTGCCTAGGCTACAGTGTGATACTCCGTCTCACAAAACAAACAAAAAACCAAATAAATAAGTCTACATTATAAAATAGAGATATGAATCCAGAGTGAGTCTTAATATGAGAATCTATAGACAGGTGCAAAGGCATCAGAATCCTAAGTATGGTGTCTATTTCCAGAGGTGGACTTCTCTTAATAGATTGTGAACATGTTGAATTAATTCTGTATTTTAAATTAAAATGTGTACATACACTAAAAATCCTATTATAGAAATAGGCTTCTAAACACCCCACTTCTCATTTTACCAAGCATGTCTCTAGCTCTCCTCCATGCAAAGTATTTAGTAAATTCCTGCTACATATTATAAAATACTGTATCGGCTATCTTCAAAGAAGAGATGTTATTATATTAAATTTAGTATGCATTATTAACAACTTTTGACTGTCACTTGAATAGACAGGTCTCTAATTGTGACAATGCTATTTAAAAAAAGAAAAAAACAGTACAGAAGCTAAGAACTAAGCAGTTCCAATTCTAAGTATTGAAAAGGTATAAATTATAAATTTCTTAAAAGCCTGCAATACGTGCAGAAAAGAGAAATATTTTAGGCAACTTCGAAGAGACTAGGAGAAAAAGGGCGTTATTGGTGATAAGTTGAGAAAAAAGGTGTGAACTTGAGGTCTGGAGGGTTAGACTTCTGTTTGTTTTTGTCAGCACCAAATGAATATCAAACATACAGCAGTCTACATAGAGCTTATGATTCAGTTATCATAAACAGTCTTCAGACAAAATAAACATAAGGTGACATGTATACATAGATATAAATATAGATATAGGAAAAAAGGAGCTCTGTGGATATGCCAAATTACAATAGTAATTTTAAGAAGCAACTGGAAGGTTATATAAATAATAAAATTAGACAATTTAATTCTTGTATTAAAAAGCACTTTGTTGTTTTAAAAATACAAAGGTAAAATTCCATTAGAAACCATTAAAATGTATTGATAAGCTGTGGAAATGCTTCTCAAACTTTAATATGCATCAGAATCATCTTACTGTAATTCAGATTGTTGGGCCCAACTCCCAGAATTTCTGACTGAGTGTATCTTGGGTGGGGCCCCAAGAATTCGAATTTCTAACAGGGCAGTATAGTGTTAAGGTTACTAAGCTAAAACTATACTTTGGACAACACTCGAAGATACAGCTCTCAAAAAAATGGGGCCTGCTGCCAATTTCCACAGATCTGTGCTGAGTTTTTGTCTGCTTGAGTTTGCATGGATCTTGTGCATGGTGACACCACTGCTGTAAGTTCATATGAGCAAGGACTCGGGCACCTGTAAGAGTATTTCCATATGGTTATGCACCTTCTCTCCTGGCTCTGACAATCTTTCTGCCCCAATTTTACCTCAAGAACTACTGGGCAGCTGTTTACTGCTGGGTGAGGAAGAACTGATCTTTTTTAAGGGGGTGACTCTAGTAGATAGGCTGACTAGACCCCAGTGGATGAACTTGCACTAAGGGACATCTGGGGACATTAACTTGACTTGATAGGCCTTAACATAAATGACAGAATGCATAAAATTCAGTGGCCAGGGGGAGGGGGGCTGAGGCTGGAAGGGAGTATGAAGATGATTAAGATGTTGCATATGAAATACACAAAAAAACAATAAAAATATACAAAAATTCAATAAACTCAGGGAGAAAATGGTATCCTGCCATTCCTTCATATTGCCAGTAACTAGAAATTTGGTCATATGAATTTACTGGATTGGTTATTTCTAAGTCACTTATTTTCCTTCCTGAGGAAAAAAATGCATAGAAACTAGTTCCTGACAACAATTAAAGCTTTCAGTATTTTTCATGAGATGGTGGTTGTTTTTCATTTCTACTCTAACAGAAAGTACATAAGTTGAGGATAAATCTAAATTAATACCCTGATCACCTGAGCAGTTTCTGGAGCAAATATTCAAAGTATTTACAAAAAGTCTATTCTATCTTGTTGGGCCGCACATGCACGTAAGTGGTGAGAATTGTAAAGGGACATCAAAAGAAAGCACAGAACTGTATTGATGATGTGCTCAACCCTCCTATTTGAAGCTTCTGAGGAATTTCAAAAGTTTAATCATTAACACTGTTTGGTAAACTGGAAAAAGAATTATGATAAAGTTTACAGCAAACCTTAAATCAAGAACAGTGTTTTCCAAAATATTGTTCTCACATCCTCTATATTAGCATCATTCAGGGCATTTCTTAAAATGTACATTTTGAAGCCTTATCCATATGCAAGAATAAAAATATATAGGTTGCAAGATAGAATTGCTTTTTAAGAAGCAATATGGTATTTATATAAATGTCTGACTATCAGACCGTTTCCATTGTCAAACCTGCTTATTTCTTGCCAAAATCAAAATTATATTGATTTAAACCCAAAATTGGGGTAGTAATTCATATAAAAAACTAGAAAATAGAGGTTTAAGAAAGAATAACAAAGAATACAAAAAAATTTCCACAGTGTGTACTTTCTGAACTCTTCCTCTTTCACAGTTTCTCTTTAAAATCCATCTGTAATAATCAACTTACCTTCATAAAAGGCCCAGGCAGCCTCTTGAATAGGAGGCAGTAACTTTGGAAGGGAAGTCATGCTAAGATGCTATGTAAGGGAAAAAGGGAGATACACTCACATGTTCACTTACCATGGTAAAGATCAGAAGTTTTGGTATAAATTCCATCTGGAAATAAAGTAAATTCCACGATTTGGAGTTGCTATATTTGTTCTGAAGGAATTTTAGGAAGGAAACACTCATATGGCAATCAGTGGTATAGCAACAAGGATGACTGCATGTACTGTATGCTGCTTTTTATGTCCAGTAGCACAGAACCTTTGAAATGAAATTTGCTAGTATAATCTTTCCAAAATGTTTGCCAATATTCCTGAAATTTTAGGCTGGAAGAAGAGCCTAAAAGATTTACTCATTGCACGCCTTTAATCCCAGCACTCGGGAGGCAGAGGCAGGTGGATCTCTGTGAGTTCAGGGCCAGCCTGGTCTACACACCGAGTTTTGAGACAGACCCTGTCTCAAAAAGGCGAAAAAAAAAAAAAGGTTCACTCAGTGCCTAAAATTTTGGAAACTATTTTTTAGTCTAGGATAAATGCATCATGAAACATAGGATTCCAGGGGAGTCAAATAAATCTTACATAAAATAAAAGGCATGAACTGGCTCTCTCTCTCTGTGTGTGTGTGTGTGTGTGTGTACAATGAGCATGTATGTAGAGGGAGAGGTCGATAACTGGTATCTTTCTTAATCACTTTCTACCTTAGTTTTTTGAGACACAGTCTCTTAGTGAATCTGGAGCTCATCAGTTCAGTCAGACTGCCTAACCACTGAGTCCCAGGGACTCTCCCAGTCTCTGCTTCCTCAGTGCTTGGGTTACAGATGCACTTATACTGCTCTTGGCTTTTTTCTGTATTAAAATGGATGCTGGAGATTGAACTCAGGTCTTCATGCATAAATTGACAGCACTTTACTGGTTGAGTTCTCTCCCTAACCCTTAGATATGTTTTTATTAAAGTGTCAGTAATGAAATATTTTAAATATCTAGAAAGAATTAAAATAGTGAAAAAAAATAAGTGTGTTTTTGAGTAAAAAAGTCCCACAAAATCAACAGATAGAAACATGTCATTTTTATGCATGCTATGAGAAAGATCTCTATGCAAAGCATTAGTAAGTTCATACCTATATTCAGGGTCACTGTCATCGGCAGAGTCTCTGTATAAAAGACCTCTCTTCAGCTCCAGTTCATCATCTTTTTCTGGGTCTCTCTCATCCTGAAAAAAATTGTAGATTTTCATTAATTTATTTTCTCACTGCTTCCAGATGATGGTTATGTTTGGGGGGGGGCAATGTGCCTCTCTTGACTCATTATAAGAGACTGAATTAAATACATTTCTTAAGAAAAAAACAAAACGGTGAGAATGCATTATCTCTCAACAAAACTATATACTTCATTACAGTTTGGTCATACTAGTTATTAAAGACTAGGCATTATTCAGTGAATACTTAATGGATGGTAGTGGATGTGCCAAGATATGTATGTTAATAATACCATATATATTTTATATGAATTCCAAAAAGATCATACTTGTCTTTTGAGGCATAAGTATTAATACTTGAGAAAACTATGCAGATGTAAGCATGCACCCATGACTTACAATGGAAGTGATTTAGAACTATTAATGATAACCCAAAATGTAATAAGTCAGAACACAAAAAACTGAATTCTAAGTTAACAGACATTAAAATACATAGGTAAAGCTCCTTTGCATAACTTACTATAGACATACACAAGGGCATAGGAAACAGGATTCTGTGAGGTAGTTTTGCAAGGTACACTACTCATAGTAAGTTCATATGAGTGTTAATTTTATATAATATAATTTGAAATCTCACTCTCATCTACCTAGCTATTATTCTTTATCCCTTAGTTAAACCAGAACAGAAATACGCAGAACTGGAAACAAAAGTATACGTGAAGATCAACAGTAATAAAGGAGGGGTTCATTCATTTCTGGTAAAACAGCTGGACATAGCTTATGAAGAAAAACATTTTAAAAAGTTTGCTGATGGCATGAAACTTTGAAAGAGCATTCACTGTAAAATGTCAGTGAGTAATAAATAGACAAGTGAAACACAGAAAAATGCATACAAATTTAGAATCGTCAAGAGTTTTAGGTTTACCTTTTATCCTTAGCCATGTTTATCTACTATTAATATGGTTAAATTAATTTTCTTTTAACTACTGTTTAAATGATAATTATTTAACCTTTTATTTTCTAACTTTCATTCAATCTTTTTCTTAGCTAGCATGGATTCCAAAGAAGTGACAAATCAAAGAAATGAGCAGAATGGTGATCTGAAGGGGAGTAAGAGCATATTGTGAGGAGTACAAAGCACTGCGCCCATCTCCTCCAGGACGTCATGAAGGGGAATTCCATTCCAAGAACTAAAGCAGACCATTACCTCAATGGTTGTTTCTCTTCTAATTTTAAGACTACATATAGGAATCATCACATATATCTCATTATAGCTCACATATATGCACAGTCAGCAGAAGAAGATCTGACTAAGAATAGTACTCAGAAAGATATAGTACTAATGACTTTGCAAATGGAGGAAGGGAAGAAAACAGTTACAGACTAGTTACTTTGATTTTAGCCCAGTGTGGCCTTTGATCTACAGAAAAGATAAGATGATCAATTTGATCCAGTAAACTTATGATGATATATGGTAGCAACAGAATACAAAGAGGTACAAATTCCCTCATGAAAACCATACAGAAACTACTTTGGAATTATATGGGATAATTCAGAGCAGACCATGACTTCTGTTTAAAACAAGAAAAGCTAAAAAAACTGAAGTATTCTTTCAAAGATATTTAGGTGAAAAAAACAATGAAGGCTACAGATATTATTAAGTTATTGGAGGGGCAACCCTTTCAAACTGGACTTAAGGTATGCACCTCATGTTTTCATTAAGCATTTCAAGATTAGATTCGTGCATGGAGCAGAGGTAGAGGACCAGAGCTATTATTTGAAGAAGGGTCATTGCTGAGACACAAAGAAACCTGAAAAGATTTTGATGAGTACACAAGAGTGGAAGACAACATTTAAACTTTATAATACCTTAGAAATACAACCAATTTCCAAGTCATGGCACTTACTAAAGTACAAAGCTGTGATTTCCCAGAATAAAGCTAAGGCAAAAATAGCTACAGCAGAGTGTAGTTTCCGACAGTCTCATTGTGTTTAAAGAAACAGAATCTGCAAAGCCACGAAGCACTGCAGACACAAGAAGAAGAAAAAATCCCTAGTAGTAGTGATACGCCAGTGTTGATACTACAGTTGTCTATAAACTAGTGATAGTAACTAGTCAGGATAAAAGGTCCCATCCTCGTCATGGAAGCAAAGGCTAACTTCTACAGATGGTAAAGTAGGCAGAACATTTTAGGAATCACACAAAGATGGAGAAGTAGAAGTGAAAACTGGAAAGTCCTGAAACAGAAAATTTCTTTGTTAAGATATTCTCTAGCTTCTGAAGCTGATCAAGTTGGGGACAAATAAGCTAACCCCAAAATGTCTGAAATTCAAAGAAAATATGCCACAGAATCACGGCAATTCAAAGACAAACATTTACCAGAAAGACTGATACAAAGCAAGTCAGAACTGAAGTGCTGAAAATGAGTGTACCTGAGCACTGGCAAGCAACATGAACTTAAGTGCACCTGGCTTCTGCCAGCAGCTGGAATCTGGTGTCAGTCAGAACAGCTGCTGCTGAATAGAGAAAATGAGAAAAGGGCAGATATTTTACTAATCATGCAGAAGTGGTGTCACAATCAATAGAGACAGAGGGGACTCAAATAGAGTCACGTGCCACTTAGCACTGGGGACACATCTTGAGAAATACATCATTAGTTTAATTATCATGTATATCTGAACAAATTAGGATGGCTATGACATTACTAGGTGGTATAATCTTCATCACTGACTGTAACATCAATATGTGAATGACTTCCTAGTGTGTACATGTAAATAACTAAGCCTTCTGTTCTTTGAAGTCAAGTATTCTTTGTGTACATGTTGCTCTCACATGGTCAAATGTCAGTCCACCACATCTGAGAAACAGATAAGAAATTGTCTCAGTCTCTTGGTACTGAGATAGTGTATTAGTTTGGTTTTCTGTGGCTGTGATAAAAGAATCTAACCAAAACTGGCTTGGGGAAGAAATGTTTTATTTCATCTTACATTTCCAAGTGTCAGTCTGTCATGAAGGGAAGCCAAACAGAAACTAAAGGCAGGAACCTGGAGCCAGAAACTGAAGCACAGACCATGGAGGAATGCTTCTTACTGGCCTGATCCCCCTGGCTTACTCAGCTATGTTTCTTATACAGCCCAGAACCACCGATCCATGAATGGCACTACCCACAGTGAATTGGGCCTTCCTACTTCAATGAACAATCAAGAAAATGCTCCACAGACATGCCTACAGGCCAGCCTGATGGAGGAATTTCCTCATTTGAGATTCGCTCCTACCAGGTGACTTTAATTTGTGTCAAATTGACAAAAAAACTAACTAGAACCTGAAGGGTGTATTTAAACTGAGGGCTAAGGTCATAAATGAGAGATGATCTGAGATTGATCGGGACTTTGATCAAGGATAGACAGAGATTTACCAAAACTCATTATAGCCTGAATCCAGTTCAGTCCTCTTTGGATCAAAGTTATTAGTCCTTGATGCCAGCAGTCTAGGAAATAAAAACACTCTCTT